GAGAGAGAGAGAGAGAGAGAGAGAGAGAGAGAGAGAGAGAGAGAGATCCTGAATGGAAGCCAGAACAGCTGAGCTGACGTGACTTGATGTATGTGTCTGCTCCACTTCAGGCAGGAGGTCCAGGTGGGAGAAGCAGGTTAATTACATGTTTTCACTAACATGCTTCGCTTCTCTTTTCATCGTACAGCTTCGTTTTATAGCTGACTGCGTTCACATTGCTTTTATCACATAATCATAAAACAAGCCAGTAACGCCCGTCTGTGACTCAGAAATCCTCCCTGCCTTGTGAAAAACAAAACAAAACAAAACTAAACAAAAAACTAATTGTGCTTTGGCTTCTCGGAGCAGATGTTGAGCACAGATAAGTTGAAGTGATAAAGGAGAACAATAAAGCATGAAAAGCAACGAGTGGCGCAGAGCCATACTTTCCTCTCTCATGTAGCAGTAATGTGACAATGGCTGATTTTCATGGTTCATTGAACAGCCACACACCTCCGGGCCAACGCAGCTTTATTTAGATCGTCGTGATGGCGTTTGACAAGTCGACACTTGTAAAAATCGGTYCAGGATGCTTGGTTTTCATTTGAACCCTTTGCTAATTTGTGCGTTCACGGTTGATTTGTAGGGTTTTTTTAATGCTTTATTGCCACAGTGCCTCTCGTTTTATACAATTTGTGCTTTTTAAATAGTATAATTGAGCAGGAGGTATTTTGGAGCCACAAGCTGATGAACTCAAGATGGATGTCACTGCTGAAGATGAAAGAAGGAGCATGACTAAAACTAAATGGCAAGGTAAGGGAAACAAAGCAGGAGTGAATCCATRTGATTAGCCTGAAAAAAAGAAATTACAAAACAAAAAGAAAAGATGAAGTAAGGAAAATCKAATCGGCCAAGCAAGAGCGAGTATGGATAAAGATGAGTAAACAACAAACAGAAAGAGGTCACGCACAAGAATTAAGATTTAGACTAAATGCTCAAAAACCTGACGGTATGAAAATGATCAAAAGATGAAACATGATTCAAACCATGTTTTCACTGAATGATCTTGATGATGATGATATTAGACAATCAGCTTACACATAATGAGCTTAGAAAGCAAGACTGACTCAGTCAAGGAGAAGAAGCAGGGATGATCTCAGTAAAAAACAACAACAAMAAAAGAAAAACAGGAATGAACTAAGATACACTTTTTTGAGCGTAAAYACAGAATGACTGCTGGAATTAGTTAAATAATGAATCTTAACTAGGGGCACAACACTTCATTTGGCATTGTTTTTGCATCACAGAAAGAAGRACGCAGATTCGTATCTGGGCCTTTTTTTTTTCTTCCTGTGCACAGGTGGGTTTTCTCCTACTACACTTGTGTCTCCCACAGACCAAAACCCTGCATGTTGAGTTGGTTTGTAACTGAATTGTCCCTTAGAGTGTGGATAGTTGTCTTGTTTGTCTCTCTGTGTCCTAGTGTTGTACTAGAGTTTTTGAATTTTAATATCCGTCTGATACCAAGTAAATACAGGGCTAGACTAGTATCACAGATATTGATATTTTATGGTTGAAATGTCAAAGCGGGGATCGAACCAAGGACCTTCTTGCTATGAGGCRACATTGCTAACCACTGAGCCTTTTGTTCTGCTTCTCTGTGTTTTTCCAGCCATCCTTACCTGCACCCACCTCCATGTCACAGCTGCAGCTACTTCTGTCATTAGTCCCTGCCTCTTTATTCCCTCTGTATCCATTAAAATAAAAGAGAAATCATTTGAACAGTATAAAAGTTACAAAAACTAAAAAGTCATGGCGCATTGCTCCCAACCAAGCTGTATATTAAAAAAAGTTTTATTTAAGAATAGTTAAAACAGTACAAGGTTTGTTGTAAACCTGCTGAGTTCACCTAATTCTTTGAGCCTCTACTTCTTTAACTTTTTAAACATGAATAAAAATTAAAGGGCAATGCAGTTTCTCTTTCTCTAATTGCCACATTATAGGTTTGGCAGATACTGTACTTTGCAGCAAAGCATCATGGGAAAAAATCTCCCTTTGGTGACATTTTTAGGCTTTGGAACTTGATCTTTTTTCCTGCATCATTTCATGGGTAAGCCACTAAAAAAAAGGAGCGCTTTAAGAAGAGAAGACAGGTGTTTTATTCAAAAAATGCTGCAGGATGTTCTGAATTATTCCCTGTAATGTGTCTGAAGTGAGCTCGTCTTTGAATGTATTCATGGGGCGAATCGGCATCCAATAAAACGTATTTCCATTTTGTCTTTTTGCTCTGTGTTAGGCTACAGTCACACATTCTGAAACAATCCCAGTCGAAAACAGATTAGATCTGATCAGTTCTTCAAAAATAATGATAAAAATGTGATTTTAAAAAAAGGTTTGATCCTCCAGGTCCTCTTACTGATCTTGACGGCGCTGTTTGTTACAGCTTCCCTCCAGATGGGAAGTACTGGAGGCTTTAACGTCTAATCGAAGCGGAGACAGCTCCAGACATATTATCCAGAGTATCTGTGGGAAAAAAGCGCCTCGAGGGTTTTAGCAAACTGTTCTTCACAAGTGTTTACATCCCCAGGACATGTAAACTCATTCTAATGTGTAAAACTGCTTCGCACGTGCCTCCCTAAACCCCACATCCTTTTCTTTGAATAAATCAGCAGTCATATCTTTGATACGTTGACCCCCCACCCCTCTTCTACATCATTCACCACTTCTTCACCTGCAGCAAAGCCCTGTTTTCTCCTGACCAGATAATCCCTCAGTGAAGAGGTAAGTACGTTGCTGGAGGAAGCTGCAAACCTCACAATTAGTGACAAGCTTTTGATTTTCCTTCCAGCTTCAACAATCGGCGTCAGTCCAGAATGTCAAGTTGCTCATCTGGAATCCCTGAGCGTTTGTGCCCAGAGGCAACCCTGTTATCTTCTGATAGGCTCCTGTAAACCCCTGTTGCTAATGTGCGCRCAAGCATAAGGTGAACGTGCACATTTTAGATGAGCTGTCTTTATGCTGCACAACAAAACGTGATGAATGCTTCAGTAGGAAACCTAACCCTGGATTCTCCAACAGGTTGAACATCTGTCGGCGCTGCCTGTGGCTCACATAAATGATGCATCGATTTATAGCGCCGTAACTTCTCTTGCTGTCAGGGAAATAAAAAATTAATAAAAACAACCCCACCCCCCAGCACAACATTATATTTTCTGACACATAATTACAGCCCTGTAAAATATGTCCATGTCACTGCTGCAGCAGCGCAGCACCTCCTCTCTGCTCCTCTACAGCTTATGTTGTTTGCTTTGCTTTTACTTGCTCCCCCCTCTCACCACAGACACAATGTCWCACACATCTCTCTGCCTTTCCTCTAAACTTCTGATTAAACCAGGAGATCAAGTCGCTGTGATGCACCGCGGCCCGTCCCAGTGTTCACCCTCTGCAACCAGAAAGCTTTAACAATTTCACTTCGAGAAAACGCTGATAAAAACCACGACGTGCAGCCAGAACGCTTTATCAAATGCTTCACAAACACAAAAAAGGGAAAGGGCACCCATCCATCACCCACAGCATGAAAAACCATCACTTGTCAATCCGCTGTGACTGCTTTTACGAAAGCCGACATCTTTTTTGTGTCAGCTCCTACAGACACATCCTGTCATTCGCAGGGCTCGACGTGAGGCTTCATGGTGGGACACTGATTGATAATARTGCGCTGACTGAATAATAAAGGATTATTTATTTCTAACAAGCTGAGGTCTGGGCTATTGCTATGATTAAACATTTATCCTTTCAAAGCTTTTATTGTTTTTTTTTTTGTTTTTCCTTTTTAAAAAGCAACAAGTATCTGTCTTTTATTTGGTGTGGTAGTAGCTGAGAGGCCTCCCCAACACATACYGTACGTTGAGAATTAACTGATCACGAGTTAGGCAATATCCTATTTTACTTTGTTAAACGTGTAAATAAAAGAGAATGCAGCTAAGTGTTCTGGAGTATTCATCCCTGTGACATRATCTGACTGCTAACAGATTATGCAGAATATGACATGCAAGATGGCGGGCGACATGCATTCCTTCAAGTATCGCTGGTTTCGTTACAAACAGAAACAGCAAAGCTCAGCGAGTTGTACCTGTGAGATATTTTGCTAACAGACAGACACACTGCAGAAACAATCTAATGCTCTGAATCCAAGTGTGCATTTTATTTAAGCACAAAGAAGAAAACATGTACAGTGTCCTGAAAAAAAGAAACTTTTTCCAGCGCCATTTATAATGGAAAGTTTAATGGTTCCTTTTGCATATAATAAAAATAAATAATGTCTTTTTAATACTAGGATTACAGTTGTAATGTTTAATTTTCTACTCATTATGAATGTCACAAAAACACAGCACTGGAACCTTACATCCGGATGTTCCTCATTTACCAGCTTAAAATTTGTTTATGTATTGCAATTAGCGATACTTTAATGACATAACCATCAATTTTCTTTATGCAACTTATTCACTGTGACACTGGGCATGTTGTCAGGCCTTCACAAGGCCGACATAGAAACACAAAAACTGCTCATGCCTACAGTCAGTTAAAACCTGCAGTTAACCTAACATGCATGTTTTTGAACTGAGGGGGGAAGACCAGAACACACAGAGATACACACATGCACAGAGAAAACATGCAAACTCCACACAGAAAGTAGAGCTAAGCACTTGTTTCTTTGTGTAGCTCCTGTGTTAATATTTCAGTTCACACATGAATTTAACTTGTGTTATTAGTCTTTTACACTGCAAAAAAATTAACCATCCTATGACAGGTAAAAAAAATGTTAGATTATAGGCTGGATCTTCTCAAATTAAGTGAAATATA